ACATGAAGGAAATGAAGGAGATGAAGAATACATGAAGAACACATAATGGAGATGAAGGACACATGAAGGAGATGATGAACACATGAAGGATACATGAAGGACACATAAATGACGCATGAAGGACGCAAGAAGGAGATGAAGAATACATGAAAGAGATGAAGGACACATGAATGACACATGAAGGAAATGGAGGACAAATTAAGGAGATGAAGGACACATGCAGGAGATGAAGGACACATGAATGACACAAAAAGGAGTTGATGACCACATGAAGGACACATGAAAGAGATGGAGGACACATAAAGGAGATGAAGGACACATGAAGAACACATGAAGGAGTTGATGGATACATGAAGGACACATGAAGGACACATGAAGGACACATGAAGGAAACATTACCACTAATGAACCAAACTAAACCAACTAAACTAAGTGCAGGTCTGTTCTGGGATTCTAACCTGCAGTTCAGCATTTTGTCGCAGCTTGTTGTTGTTTACATCAATAAGAATCTGACTTCAGCTGTTGTGCCTCTTTATTGTAGCTGCCACTTAATTTTACTGACATGTTGTGTTTTACTGACAAAACCTTTAAGCAAACTTTTTATATCATCCTAATCTGCCTCATAAGCTGTGCTTGGGTTCTGACGGACCATCAGCTGGAGGCGTGGAGCTGTGGAGCAGCAGAGGAAGCATCACTTACATGCAGTCTTTGTAGGTGGGACAGTAGTAGAAGGCAGGAACCAGCTGTTCATACTTGGCCTTGGCAGCGTAGTTACCCACAGAGTCCATAAACTGCAGAGGAGGGAAGCATCCATGATGTTTGTCAGCGTGGATCTGAGTGTTGAGGTGCTTACTGGAGCTCTGAGTGGATCACTGTTCTAATGAATTAGTGTTTGGTGGCTGCTCAAAGGGAGACGCTGATTCATTCTCTGTGTTCAACAGAAACACACAAATCAAGGACGGAAAGCGACGAAGGCGACGCAGGAAGAGAAGGAGCTGGTTGCAAAACAAACCACCAACTTTTCTGTTGCACAAATTCACGCAAGCACCCAGTTCATCTCACACAGCGGCACGTCTAAACACAACACATGTACGTCTCACTGTTGCCTGTTTTAAAAGGATTTCTGAGCTGGACTCACACACACCAAACACACAGAGCCAGTTGTTGTGCCGACCAGCTGCTGGTTCAGGCCTTTCAGATCGGCCTCGGCTCATACTGATGACTCGTCTTATTCTTCCAGACAGTGATGCTCAGACTGTGAGGAGGCTGGATGGCAAACAGAGGCAGAGTAAAAGTGACTCTGCATATATATATATCAACAGCTAACATTTGTTCCCACCTCCAGCTCAGAGGAGCTCCAGGGATCCAGCAGCAGAGACTTGACCTTGCTGATCTGAGCAATGTTTCTGTGGAGGCCTGAGCAGCTGTGACACACAAACACACCCAGCGTGTAGGACGCCCACTCCGGATCTGCAAGACAGGACGAAGACGATTTTAAAAACTAAGTTAAACTCAAAAAATCAACACAACTGCAACAGCAGCAACTAAACCAGCAGCTTAAACATTAACACAAGTAGACAGAAACATCAGACTGGTGCCTAAAAGAAGGAGCAACAAAAGGATGGACAGACGTCTGACAGGATAAGAACAGAGTCCACAGGAGGGTCGAAACCTGAAGGAATGACAGACAAATACATATTGAGTCATTTGTCTAATTGGTTTTAATGTGAATACTAGAGACCGCGTTTCAAACAAGAGTTCACAGCAGACAGGAAGCAGGTTGGCGGACGGCAGAGAGCTTTGTTTTACTGCTCAAGACATTTGGTTTGGTTCCCAAGAAGCTCATCAAAAAAGGAAAAGCGCTTGTTTGTCTTTATAAGTCGTGAAGCACGACAAGATGCAAAACAGCGCAGGACGATGCTGCAGAACAGACGTGAGCAGCCACACAGACGCCCTTAACGCTCCTCCTAATCTTCAGAATCTTAACTCTGATCAATGCAGGTGAGTTCACAGCTCTTCAGCCTAAAGAAGACTGGGTGGTCAGACGAGGTTTCAGCTCACAGACATGCAACAGCAGCACAAGAACAAAGAACTTCCTCGAGCATAAATAGAAAGCTGCAAACTGTGCAAAGCAGACAAGGCTCTGATGTGTGGCTAACTGATTGGCAGATAAAGAGCATGGAAGCAGAATAACACACAATCCACAATATAAAAATGCATGAAGATTAAAATCGGACACTTGACTAACCTGATAACCAGGAGATCTGAAAGAAGGGACTTTAAGAAAACTCAAATCAGTGCTGTTTGATTGGCTGCTCTCCTGTTTTATGAGCTGGTAGAGCTTTAACTCAGAGTTCATGAGAGGAGAACACTTCACAAACCACACCTGTTTGCATTTGTGGATGTCTGAGGTTGATAAGTGTGAACCAACTCCCCATTCAGCACTGCATACATGAAGGAGTGTCTACATTACTAATTTACTAAAACTGAAGTGCTACAAGTCCACAACTGGTTTAAAAACTAATTATTGCTCCTGAATGAGAGTCCTCATCGCTGTGATGTGTGAGGATCTATAACATGTCAGCTGTTCTAGGTTTCCTAACCTGCCTCCCTCAAACTAAACCACTCTGAAGCTGTGGCATCCAGTTAATCATCTGCAGCTCACGGAAATGTAAAGGAACGAGCAGAATGCGCGTCTAAGCAGGAAAAAGGAGCCTGAAGTCACCTGCAGCTCCGCAGTCCGCGCAGCTTCCGTTCCCAGCTTTAGCCAGCAGCTGATTCAAGCGCTGCCTGCTGCTTTCTGGGTCTGAAGCCATGGTTCCGATGGTTCGGGAGATTCTGCTGCTTCGCCTTTTCAGCGGCTGAAATCTTCAAACTTCATACATCGAGAGTCGGACCGCAGCCGGAGACGCGCCGGACGGAGTGCGTAAAAGTGCGTAAAAGCGTCCAAACAGCTGCTGGAGGAGGATGGAGGCTGATGGAGGCGGAGGAGGAGGTCTGAAGTCTCAGTTCGGCTGATGTTGTAGAACCCGTCCAGATCCTACTGACACATTAAAGTGCTCTGAGTGTTGCAGTGAGACACCCAGCGGTCATTCTGGTGACGCAGATCTCCGCCCACAGTCAGACCACGTTCTGCAGAGCGCAGATATTTAATGTGCATGGGCAGGCACAGGGTGGTTTCACACTCTGAGGGAAGTGAACTCAGTGTGGTTCTGAAGGGCCTGAAGGTCCAACACATCTGACAACAAACCCACAAACTCTTAAAGATTTCATACATATGGACCTAAAATGTTTTCTGTACCGAGGTTTGGTGCCTCGAGGTGGATAGAATCAGACAAGAAATTCCATTTATTCCTAAAACAGCTCATTTTAATCCTCAGGTCCTCTACCAGAACCTCGAAGTTTGAGGTTTCTGGACCTCTGGTGTCCTACCTGGACGAGTCAGACTTCATCTCCACATCTGCTTCAGCCGCTTCTGTTTCAAACTCGGCCCAGGTGTCCCTGTACAGTGCTGTTTCACATAACACGGCACGAAAAACCCAAATGGACTCCCATCTATCCGTCTTCTTCACCTATCTGGGTTTGGGTGGTGGAGGCAGCAGTATCGATCCATAATGCTAATGATAAATACTCTGTCACTTCTTGCCTTTGTGCTCAGTTTAGAATGTGTTTTGACTGTTGGGATTAATTCCTCCTCGTTAATGAAAAGATGTTTTAGTCCTTTTACATGAAACCAGGGCTGCTGAAGTTAAGTAAAGTTAGAAAGATATTCACAGATTCGCGGTTCCCGTGACAAAAAGTAATTAACGGAACATTGCTTTCAGAAAAACAACACTTATATCTGAGGCCAGTTATGTAGACTGCAAGCTACAGCTCGATTTTAAACATTACAAGCCGCCCTTCGTACGCGACGACTTCAACTGACTCCAATGCGCTGTCGGCTCTGGCTCGGTAGAGCAGGGACCGTCTACAAAGTGCAATACTGAAGAGAGATGCTACAAAAAAAATCAATAGTGTTGCCAAGGAATAGTGTAGGGTAAAATAAACCAACCCACACAACAATCCATCCAGGCAGGTTATACTACCATAATTATTTGAGGAAAATCTTTTTTTTATGTAATTTTTATGAATATTTCTGTCATAAAGTGTGTAATAACTTTACTATTAAAGGCTGGAATAGTACCAAAATCCCCTCACATATAATCAAACTCCTTTTGTTTGTACTACAACAGTTATTTGGGGAAAATATGTTCTAATGTAATTTTTTTAATGAATTTTATAGACATAAAATGTGTAATAACTATGTTATTAGAGGTTGTAGTAGTACAAAAATCCCCTCAGGCATTATTGAGCTCCTTTTATTTATACCACAACAATCATTTTGGGAAAATCTTGTTTTCTGTAATTTTAATGAATATTTCTGTCATAAAATGTGTAATAACTATGTTATTAAAGGCTGGAATAGTACCAAAATCCCTTCACATATAATTGAGCTCCTACAACTACACTGATTGTTATCATATAGCATGTTACTATTATCAGTACTATTGTTATCATTAGTATTTATTTATATTGCTATTAGTAATAGTAGTAGTAGTAGTAGTAGCAGTATTACACCGTGCTGCTATCCTATCTAACAGTTTGCTTCCTTTGTTCCTTGTTTACTGCTTTTTTCTGAATTGATGTGTGCTGCTGTCTTTGTCGGTGTTGTGCTGCTGCTAGAACAATAATTTCTCTGAGGTACCCTAATAAGGGATCAGTAAGGTTCTACCTAATCTAATCTGATCTGCCACCCTACGGAGAAAGCTCATCCAGCTTGTAACCACGATCTCATTCTTTCTGTCGCTAGTCGGAGCTCATGATCATAGCCGGGGGTTGGAATGTAGACCACCACGACAGTCCAGTACAACGCCAGCAGCAAATGTCTACGATACTATTAAAAACAGACCTCTGTCCAAATGGGCTGGCTGGCTGCTGGTGGTTCCACAGTTTACTGGGACACCTGATGGATCCCTGTCATGAAGGTAGTTTCCCCTACCTGCTGTGAAGATGTTCTGTTGTGTCCCGTCCTGCCTGCAGCTCGTCTGGTTGGGTTCATGAGTCAGGAGCAACCTACAAAATAACCCCGAGTCCATCGCAGCCATTAAAATACCATCAGGTTTACAGAAATAGAAGGACATGATCTCAGAGTGTCTGCTGGTAACCAGAACAGCAGGTACGACGCGCTGCTGTAGGTTCACCTTAATCCAAGTCTAAACCCAAACTTAACATGTGAGCTGCAGGTGTCTCAGCTAAACGGTTTTACTCTGTTTCTGAGATGAATGTTTTAAAAGTCTGACGATGCATAAAAAGGTACCATGTTGCACTAAATGTACCGTTTAAATTTGCCTTTCACAAACCAAAACATGTACAGTGAGGTTGCTGCTCATCATGTTTAGGCTGATGCTGAACCTGAGGATGTTTAGAGCCCAACAGAGCACAGCGCAGAAACACACATCAGGGGATTGTAAAGCAAATGTAATCGCTGTGAACATGTTGCTGTGTTTGTATAAGAAAGACTCCAGGTGTGTTTTGGGCACACACATTAAATGTTCTGCAGATCCCAGTGAGGTTCGACTGAGACGACAAACCTCGCAGGTGTTTGACCAAGAAGGAGAACGGTGAGGAACTTTCAGAATCTCGATGTTTCTGCATTTTTATTTTTCAAAATGTCTAAAAAGTCAATACATGGTAAAAAGAAGACAGTTTAAACAGAACATTGGTAGATCTCAGTGGAGTCCAAACCCAGCCTGAAAGAACATAAATACTGAGCCAGTTTCTCAGAATCAACTTAGCAAATATGAAAAAAAAAGACAACTTACATTTTCATTAAAAAAAAAAAAAAAAGCATTTTTGCTACCTACACACACAGATGTTCAGGTCGGCTACAATGCAGATGGTTTTGTTTCTGGTGAGTCCATAAAGTCTGGGAGAACAGGTTCTACAGCTGATCTGGTGCCACAGAATCTAAGAGATCAGAAGGTATCTGGAGGTGGAAAACCGTCTATCTGGAGGAGTTGGAGCTGGAGCGAGAGCGGTGACGCCTGCGACCAGGAGATCTGGAGCGAGAGCGGCGCCGAGCTGGAGAACGCCTCCTCGGGGAGCGAGACCTGCGACGACACGAAGACAAAACACACAGAAAGGTTCAGACGGCTTCATGGTCCAAACCGAAGAACATAAACGTACTAAAAAGATCATTCTCCGACCTCCTCCTCATCCGCGGTGGGCTGCGACGCCACATGGGTGGAGGTGGAGGCATCCGGCGAGGGGGAGAAGGTCGGCGAGGCGGAGGACGGATCCGCTGAGTCAGCACAGCAGAAGCAGTGATTTCCTGACCGTCGATCTGACCTGTTGAGCAGACACCACACAACGTTACACAACATTAACACACATCGGTCTGACTATGTGAGGTATGGCGTGAACATGCTGCCCACCTCCATCCATGTGCTTCAGGGCCTTCTGGGCCTCCTCAGGGGTCTCAAACTCCACATAGGCGTGGCCTCTGGGCAGGTGTGGGTGGAGCCTGTCCATTGGGAGGTCAACCATCTTTATTTTCCCATAAGTAGAGAAGATCTCCTGGATGTGGTCCTGTTGAACAACACGTATGTTATTTGATCTTGTTGATGTACGACATCATCTGGACTCAGCACATGAAATAAACTGCTACAACGACACTAACACGCCTGTTTATTCAACACAAACACACTTAATCAATATAATGGAATCATCTCAGAAATTCTATTTTTCTTTTCCATTTTAGTCCAGAGTTTTCTAAAAAAAATAAAAATAAAAAAAATCAAACTTTTAAATATTTCACCTCATGTGTAGTTAGTCTGAAATACATTTTCACTTTGTTTAAATAACTGAGACGATTTTAAACTTTTTGAGATGCACTGACGCATCCAGAAGTTCCATTAGACTCCAGCACACTGTCTAACTTGCAGAGAAAAATGTATTAATAAGATGTTTTGGTGCCGTTTGCCTGATGAAGGTCCAGCATCTAAACATCAGGCCACTAAATGTACCTTTGAAAGTTAGTTTCCTAACGTCTGGCTGAAAATTTCTGAGATGCAGCTGTAATCTGAAGTTATATTTAATCATATTTATGTTTACGGCTCCATAAAGCTTCATCTTGTTTCTCAGCTGACCTTGGTTACGTTCCTGGTCAGACGCCCCAAATGAACTTTGGTTGGTTTGGGACTGGGGCTTCTTTTCCTGCGTTCCTTGTCATCGCCTCTCTTCTGTGTTTTAGAGCTGCAGGATCACAATCAAACCCTCAATAACTTGATCAGGACTCAAACAAGTGAACATAAAAGAGATGACAGAAATAAATATTGTGTAATTACATCAAATTGAACGACTTACGCTGAGCGAGAGCGGCGACGGTTGTCGTGGCGTCTGCGGCTGGGGCTGGGGGAGCCTGAGGAGCTGGAAGAGGAGGAGGATCGAGAGCTAGAAGAACCAGAGTGGCTGGACCCAGAAGAACTAGATCCACTTGAGGAACCTGAGCTGGAACCAGAGCTGCTGCTGGAAGTAGAGCTGGATCTGGACCTGGTCACAGTCAAAACATAAGGAGAATAGATTACATTAGAAATTATCCACAGACAGATTGTATCTCCAACGCGACCATAAATAAAAAAGGCGTGAGGCATTTAGAGAGCGAACCTGCTGCTGCTGCTGCCAGTGGAAGCACTGCGACGTTTCTTCGCTTTGTCCCGTCCTCTCTCCTTCTCTCCTTCCTTGGTACCAGTCTTTTCTTTGCCTCTTTCTTTTGTTTTTTCCTCCTCCTTCCGTTTTGTAGGTGATGGAGCCCTAAAGTCACAAAGAAAACGACTGTCACTTTGATATCTTTACTCTGAGAAAGGTCTAAGGCAACTACAGCTTCAACGATTAGTAGATTACTTGTCAACTATTATGATAAAAGTCAAAGTCCTCCGATTGCAGCTTCTTAAACGTGAACATTTTCTGGCTACTTTACTTTTCTGTGACAGTAGTTGTGAAAGAAACATTTGAGGACAATTCATTCCCATTTTGCACTATTTTGTGTCATTTTATAATCCAAACAACTTATAGAATAACTGAAAAGGAAAATAATTATTGTCATTATAAAAGTCACAATTATACAAAATAAAGATATCAGATTGCTCGTCCAACAGCTAAAATTATTCAAACTATAACGATACAAATCAGGATTTTATTGAGAAAAATAGGAAAATTCCCTTTTATTTTACAGAAAAATAAGCCTCATCAACACAAGATGATCCAGTAATGTGCTTGTGGCAGTAAATACAATGGAAAGACTGAAACCAAAGGGAAGTAATTGACCACAGAATCTATTATTAATGGTTCAGGTTCGTTTGGAAGCAAAAAAAAAGCACATGACTCGACTGACAGAAGTAGAGTGAAGCCATCTTAAACTATTTAGCATGCATTGATCATAGGAAATCTTTGTTAGATTTCCATGTATAATTTTGCAGAGTCTTAACTCTATCTAGGTACACACACAGAAACACTGTAAGATCTTAACCTTGACAATAAAATTAGTCAGACTAATTTGTATTACAGATAATATTGTAAGCTCTTAAACTTAACATTTACGTTATTGGGATGAATTAATAAAAAAAATTAATGACATTGTAGGGTCTCAACTTTAATGTTTAATTTCATCCATCAGGTAAATTAATGTTTTATATTATTTTGTCTGATGGTTAAAGACGTGACTTTACTGTAAACGTTACAGGGGCTTTAATGTTATCGTAACATTAGTATAATTTGTAGTTACTGCAGTTATCAATGAAACTCCTAGTTTTTTGGATTACTTTACTGCTCTAACGGACAGAAATCCGCCGCCATTGAATTTCATTCAACTCAAAACAACGAGCGGCTCCGCGGGGCTGCAGCTGCCGATCACCCTCCGCCTTAAAGATCGACATACATGCTGCTGAATACCATCAGAAAACACCACTCAACTCTCCGTACGGCCTGATTTACCTGCTTGATTCGAAACTACCACATTTACAAACGAATAGAAGCTCAAACTTACATTTCTCTAAAACGACGTGCTGCCACTTCCCCGCTAAAGGCCTGTCGCAGGGTGATGACGACAACCGGAAGTTACGTAGCCACCTGCGCGCCACTTACAAGTCATTTGTTTATTTTACGTTGTTTTCTGTAAAATGTGAGTTTCTGTAAGTGAAACCGCAGCGTGGCTGTGTACAAACGAACCGTTTCATCATGACTGAAGGGATTTAAACCAACAGGAAACACCAGCACAGCTTCCGTCCTGTCGCCGCGGTGAGAGCATCACTTTAAAGCGCTGTTAGCTTTGATCGTTAGCTAGCTCAGCTATCCGGCTGCTACTGATGAACTTAATTCCAAGTTACTGTTCTGCATTCTGCCTCCACGGTGAAGGACAGGTTGTAATAAATCAGTGTCGTTCTGTTTTCAATCTGGGCACAAACATGTGAGTAGTAATCAGTCACCATGTCGCCTGGTTGCTCAATAAAATATGCATTTAATGTTAAGAAATGTATGTTTTCGTGTGTGTGTGTCACTGTAGTTATCTGAGTTCTGCACTTGAAAAGATTATGTGTCCATGCCAACCTTGGAAACGTATACATACCGAATAAACTGCAGCATTGCCCTCTGTTCAGTCATTGATTTGGTCTTTTTTGGTTTTAACAATATGAATTACACGAGAAAAGCGGTTTTTTGTTGTTGTTTTTTTTGTTTTTTTACTGTGATGTGCTAATAAACGTGTTAGTATAACGTGACACAATAATATATTTTTATAACTAGAAAAAAAATCTCGTGGTAAAATATATATTCATATAGTACATTATGTTGGGAAAACACTAACATCACGATATTTTTGTTTTTCTGCAGTTTAACAAATTACTAGTAGTGTCATCACTTGAATAACTCTTTTTGCAAAAAGTGAATCATTTCACTATAATTACCCAGAATCTTTTAGGGGATTGCATCTGCATAGAAAATATTATTATTATTTTTTTTTTTTAAGTTGAAAACAGCTGTTTGGTTCCTTTTTCATGTGGTGTAACGCTGGCAAAGACATCCAAAATATTTTTTGTTCTCACTTTGCACTGATGCTGCTTTAAATGATTTAAACAAATTCGTTGTGGCGTCTCATGCAGTGGCAAGAAGCTGCTGACCGGGTACCTTTCTTTGGTCAGTGTAAATTCTGAAATGATATATTGTGCCACCTACCTCATAGTGATCCCATTTGAAACTGAGCAGAACTTCTTAGTAAAAGTAGTACTAAAACTCACTGCATCTCTGATATTTTCGGAAACTAGTGGACACCCATAGCAGCAGCACCTATAGTCACACAACTCACAGTTTTTAAATTGATTTCTTATGGTTAAACATACACTAAGTGTTGGTAACAATTTGATTTGTATTTTTCTTCTAGAGATCACCAGCTGAACTTGAACGGTTGTTCTGGACTGAGACACTATGGGTCGGCTGGATGATGCTGCCAAACACAAGGTGGTGGAGCTGAGGAAGGCTGGTCTGAGTTTCCGTAAGATCAAAGCTGTGCTGGAGCTGGAGAACATCAAGGTCTCTGCTCAGGCCATCTACCTGTTCCTGAGGGAGTTCCAGGGGAGGCCACCGGGGAGGGTCAGACCCGTGGAGGCAGGAAGCAGCACATCACCAGCACAGGTGCAGGCTCGAACTGGGTCGATGCAGGAGAGCTGGAGTAACATTCATCTCCAGAACCTGTTGCGGGAGGCGTCTCATCATGCCAGCTTTGCAACAGCTGCAGACTTTGCCAAACAGGCTTCCACAAATTCAGAAGCTACAGCAAATTCATCCGGATCTGTGGAGAACATTGGAGGCAGCAGGCCGGAACAGCAGAGTGAACGAAATAAGGAAGAGAACGACATCCAGATTGTTAGCGTCACGTCTCTTGCACAGCACAGCCAACAACGAGCTCCCCAGTCCTCAGGCACGAGGTCAGAGACGGGAGCTGCGTCTTCCCTCATGAGGAGGAGAGTCACACCTTCTCCAGCCACCAGCTCAATGCTGGCAGCTCGAAAGAGACTTTTGGATAAAGCTCTGTCACACAGGATGAAGGTATGTGTCAACCTAAACACAAGCTCTCTTGTCACAATCTTAACTGTTTGGAATTACTGTTTTGCCACAAACTTCACTTTCAGTGATATCTTGCAAACGTTGTGTTTCAACAGTCGTTCCACCAGGTGGCATCGATGTTGAGGCGAGACCACTCAAGTGTCCAAGGTGCTGATCTGAGGACTGCTCTGCCACAGCAGCCTGAAACCTACGATCTGACCACTGACAAGGTGACAACAGCACAAACCTCAAATGCCAAAATGGGTCTGGTAATTATCTTTATTCACCTCAACTACAGTGAGATTTTATTGTAGTCAAACAGTACCTGTTTAGTCCAGAGTTATGTTTGAATAATACGTTTTCCAGTCTTTATACCTGCATCTGTATCTTTTTCTGTGTTTTTGCTGGTTCTCAGCTGATGGCAGCTGTATTTTCATACATTGTGAGGTCCTTATTGTTTCTGTTATTCCTTAATTTGTATTGTTTGTGTTTTTTAAAAAACGTATTCTTGGCCAAACAACCACAAATAACTGAAACAGAGTGGCAGGTTGATTTGTGGACATTAAGGTCAACACAATAATTGGGTTTGTTCTCTCCTGATTCTGGGAGCCTCATCAAGTCTCTGTCTGTTGCTGAACATTTGGTCACACACATTTGGAACATTTGTCTTCACGACACTGGTTTTAACTAGATGTTTTCCATCTTGCTCAGACTGTTATGGAGGGTCAGCCTGGAGGTGGCAGCACCCCCAGACGTTTTCTCACCCAGAGACCAGGACTGTCTGTTCGCTCCCTTCACCCTCCTCCTCGTGTTGGGATTCGTCTTCTGAACCGGCCACTACCACCTTTAGCTTCCTCCGCTCCTGGAGCTGCCGTTATCCGCCTACATGCTCCTGGAGCTCAGGCTGCCAGTCGCAGTGAGGGGAATCCGAGTTCACAGCAGGCGGTCCAGGATGCCGCAGGCAGAGGTTTGCAGGATCAGATTCAGACGCTGGGCTCCGAGGTGCGCAGCTTGGGCTTGGCGGTGAAGATGCTGGTGGAGCAGCACTGCCGGCTGGAGAGGGAGCAGGCGCAGCAAACGCAGATTCAGAAGCAGATCCTCAACACTCTGCAGACTCTAGCCTCCAAAGTTGGACAGTGTAGCAGCGTTCAGCAGCAGCACAACAAAACTCCGTCACCCTCCGCATTGCCGGCAGCTTCTGCTCCAACCTCCTTCAGCCAGGACTCCTTCAGTTTCAGTCAAGGCACGTACACTCCGTGCAGCCAAAGCCAGCCCGGCTACAACTCTTTGGAAAGTTTAGAGAATGTGGAGGCCTTCAAACTGCCAGGACTGAGCCCTGCAAGCATCAATGGGTTTCCACCTTGTAGCAATGCTGAGAGCCTTCCTCTCACTCACACCCCCCCTCAGTCACAACCATATGCAGCTGCATATTCACAGCAAACCAGCCAAGCCCTCATGTCTCCCTACACACAGTCCTACGTGTCCACATACAGCCAGTCGCATTCTCAGACTTTCAGAGCGTCACAGAGTAAAACATCTGATTTCCCCAGCAGCTGTTCAGTGAGCTCCTTCCAGGACTGCAGTGTTTCCACGCCGACCATGATGAACGCGACCCACACCTCACAGGATCAGCAGATCAACGTCATCAAGGTGGAAGGACCTTAGAAGGTTTGGATTCCATGCAGTGTTTGGGGACGATAAGGGCTCAGATGCGCTTTTGGAGTGATTGTTTAATTGTTATTAAAGGCACATGTTTTTTTTACAGTTAACAAATAATGTAGCATTTTTTAATTTATTTATTTCCAAAGTGAATTTTCAGACGACATGAAGAGCAATAGAGTAAATGGATTACAGTGCTTTTGTAATAATACCACGAATTGTCTTTTCAAAAGACAAAGAATCCAAATTCAAAAAATGATCATTTGTCATTTTTGTGAAAACACTTCCTGTTAATTTTGTATGAGTTTATCTTGTATCAGTAGGGCTGGAATTATTGACTGTCTGTGCTGACTGATTAAAAAATAAAGAGCTGGTTGTGATCCAAAACATGTTCGCCGCTCAGTGAGCAGACTGTGAAAAGTCATTATGGAGAAGTTAAGAATGTTTGTGAACAGAGAAAAGCCGAACTTCACCGAACTGTTGAACTTTTTTTTTGTGTGTTTTCTTTGTCAGAACTCAGAAAATCTGTGTCTGTGATTCACGTTTCCATTTCAGACGTTCCTTAGCTAACCAGCAGCCTGGCAGTGGAAGATGACACACAGTGTTCAGGGTGGACAGACGGTGCAGTTCGGTTTCACACCAACCAACGTGTCACTTATTTTAAGCATTTCACTGCGTCTGTGGCACTTTCTGTCAGTACGCTCCATCTCTGCTCCAGCCTTCTCTTTCTTCAGACCTTAAATTTCACCTGATTAGAACATTATCAGTGAAGAACAGCGTGGTAACCCTCCACCCAGAAAACCCTCATTAAGCTGCAGCATCGCCTGAACTATTAATCCGCCCTGCATGCTGAGGAATAGTTCAGAATCAGAAGCGTTTTAAAAAAAATTTAGTTTTTATAGTTGTCTTTAAAAACCTAGTTTGCATCGATGCAAACTTTTCCTGCAACTCTTCTTCCTCTAACTTTGGTTTTCAGAGAAGAAACCCTCCAGGTTTAATGGCATCAGTGCTGTTTGGTGATTTCCTACCGTTGGATTCTCAGACAGACCACAGCAGTATGAGAACATGGACAAGGAACAATAGACTGTGAAGCTGGGTTATTAGTACCGATGAGAAACGACAAACTAAGTCCATTAATTAACAGCCGTGTGTATAATTCTGACATATAATGAGGAGACGTTTCAGAGAAAACTGATGCTTTGAGAGAAGAGTGTTTACATTCAGTTTATTGGCATTAACAAGGCTGCTGAGCTGTATGCGATGGTGAGTAAAGTCGAACTTGAATTAGAGGCTCAATACTATCGGCAACCACAACATTCACAGTTAAAGTTTGTGTAATATCATGACATCATTTTCTTGGTTTATAGTGATAAAGGTTTTTATTGCCACCCATATCATTATAACCTGTTGTATATTTTACAACACACAGCAAGCTTACTTGGTCTTCCATCTCCTTGATAACATCAGTGTGCATTTGATTTGTAGCTGGTTTCTGTCTGCTGGTGACATTTCTACACACAATTCTCACCAACTAAAGACCAAAACAACCAATCAGGAGTCTTCGTCACTGGCGGCTGACGGCACACAGCTCTTGAGGAGAAGGAGAGAGTGTGAATCCCACAAGTGGCGTCAGATCCAGCTCATCCTCTGAAACTCCGGGTGGAGCGGTGAAACGGAAGCGCTGCAGGAGGGAAGTGAAGAAGAGGAAGAGCTCCATTCTGGCCAGACCCTCTCCAAGACAAGCCCTGCGGCCTGCAAGACCAGAACAGCTCAGCATGATCCTACACGTACAAGCACAAGACATCTTCAGAGAACCAGCTCCAGCAGAGACGTCCTACCTGCAGAAAAGGGCATGAAGGCGTCCCTCCGGATAAACTTGCCCTCCTCGTTCAGGAAATGAGCAGGATTGAAGGTGTGCGGGCTCTCCCATTCACTCTCATCATGTAGGACAGAAGTCAGCAGAGGAAACACTGTGGTTCCCTGCAGGCAAGGAGCAGAGCAGGTCTGTCATTTAAAGAACCTTAAGAAGTCAGAGGTGAATGAACAGCAAAGATTCAGCTTTAAGGGTAAAGAGTGGTGACCAGCTGACCTTTCTGATGAAGTATCCCTGGAAGGTGACGTCCTGGCTGGTTGTGTGAGGGAGGGCCATGGGGACGATGTTAGCTAGCCTCTGGGACTCGTGGATCACAGCGTCGGTGAACGGCAGTTTCTTCCTGTCCTCCATCCGGACCTGGCGACTCCCAACCACCCTGCTCAGCTCCTCCTGCACCTGCTCTGAATTAATATTGAATATGTTAACCTGTGAAGCTCCTTTATCCCCAGTTTTATGTGGACACTGTGAACTGAGACGAGCCTGTAGGTGAATGTCTGCACCTTGAATATGAGGATATTTGGCCATGAAAAGCAGACACCACTGCAGGGAATGTCCTGTCGTATCGGTTCCAGCAGCAAACAGATTTATCACGCTGTAGAGCATGTTGTCATCGTGGTAGTGTGAGTTCTGGAGGCACATGCAAGAAGAGGGAATATACTTATTGATCTGCATTGTCTGCCTGGGAGTGACCCAGTGGAGTTGGATTCCTCACCTCTGGATGTTGCTGACGGATGAGAAATGCATCAACAAAGCATCTGCACATGTCAGGGTTGAGAGTCCCCTTCAGATCTGCTATTATCCTCCTTATGTTCGACTTGTTGTTTTCCACGTTTTTCATCAGAATCCTCCAGTTTTTGAGGAAAGGGCCCAGCCAGGGGAATACGTTGTATATCTGCAATGATGCAAATGCAGTTAAAGCCACAAGATCTTCGGCTCCTGCTGGATTAATTCAGCTCCTCATTTGGTTGCTATACTTCAATAGAAAACATCCATCCATCCATCCATTATCTATACACCGCTTAATCCTCACTAGGGTGGCGGGAGGGCTGCAGCCTATCCCAGCTGACTCAGGGTGAAGGCAGGTTCACCTGGACAGGTAACCAGTCTATCACAGGGCTACACTTAGAGACAGACAACCAAGCACACTCACATTCACACCTACGGACAATTTAGAATCACCAATTAACCTCAGCATGTTTCTGGACTGTGGGAGGAAGCCGGAGAACCCGGAGAGAACCCACGCTGCACGGGGAGAACATGCAAACTCCACTCAGAAAGATCCCGGTGCCCCCACCGGGACGCGAACCGGCGACCTTTTCGCTGCGAGGCAACAGTGCTACAAACTGCGCCACCTTGCAACCCCAATAGAAAACATACTTGGCTTTATTTTACATGTTGTCGTTTCAACATCGGTTTGTGAAAATATCCTGAGAGGTTATATCCTGGAGAGAACTCTATGATTTGGAAGGAGACCAGTGTCAAGTAAAGAAGAGTTTCAAGTCCATCACATTGCTGCGGGGAACGTTCATACTTTTATTGCTTATGTGATGTTTGTATATAAAGTTTTCTTCAGACTGTGTTGTTGTTTAGATGAAGGTATAGAAGCTGAAACGTTGAAGTCAGATTCAGCTTCAACATGAAGTAATATTTTATGCATGTTGTTCCTTTAGTACAGGGGTCTCAAACTCCGGTCCTCGAGGACCGCAATCCTGCATGTTCTAGATGTTTCCCTCTTCCAACACACCAGATTCAGATGATCAGCTCATCATCAAGCTCTGCAGAAGCCTGATAACGATCCTGATCATTTGAAGCAGGTGTGTTGGAAGAGAGAAACATCTAAAACTTGCAGGATTGCGGCCCTCGAGGACCGAAGTTCGAGACGCCTGCTTTAGTACTTTCAAATGAATTAAGTTTTTGTTGCTAATATGAACAAGAATATATATTTAATTTGGTCACAGCAGGTCAGCTGAACATAAAAAGGATGTAAATTCTGCCTACAGGCAAATACTAATACTAAATAAGAACAATAAACTAGAATAAAGTTTCTGGTAAATTGCCAAATAATTACTTAGATTTAAATCTATAGCTCCACCAATCAGATCATTAATATTCTCACCAAAATTACACTGTGCTTTCCAGGAAAACTTTTAGGAAATGCTCAGCTATGTTTTGTTTTGATTTTTAGAACTTTTAGTGAATTAAAATGTTCCTTGTGATCATTAGGTACCATGATGGAAGCTGATCCCGTCAGATGGATGGTCTCTTTGTCTGCTTCCACCATAGCTCGTAAAACCGGGTCGTCGTAGTCAAACCTCTTTCCAAACATTAGAGTCGATATAATGTTTGACGCAGCATAATGAATTGCCTGAGCGTTGCTGAAGGGTTTACCTGGTACAAAAAAAAAAGAAACTGTTAAGGTCCACCAGACCAAAGAAAGCCGCTAAAGACTGAGATTCAAATCTACAGAGGACATTTTGAACATTCAGTGGCATTAAAGCTAATAAAGGGTCAGCATAGATTCTAATTATGTGTAATTATTTTGCTATATATCTTTTAGTTTGGGTAAAAACAACATCAACTCTTGGGTGACACCACTTTGACCCTATAAATCTGGTGTATTAACAGAGGTGTGCAGAGCTTTATAACAGAGCTTATGTTAAGATGACATTAACTTTATTGAAAATTCGCACCTTTGTGTTGCTCAAATTCCTCAATCAGGTACTGACATTCCTCAGTGATTCTTCCTTCACTGATCCTGCGGCCCATTCCAAAATCCTTCAGTGTGGTTAAAGCAAACCGCCTCATTTCTCGCCACGAGTCTCCATTGGAAAATAAAATGCCTGAAACAAAGCATATTTAGTGTTTTTAACCAGGCCAGGAACAGTCAATAAGAGAACCGAGGGGGGAGATTAGAGAGGGGAAGGGTAGCTGTAAGAGGAGGATGGAAGAGCAGCTGCAGCAGAATGATGTCAATGGTGTCTGGAGCAGTCTGAAAACAATCTCTGGACACAACAACTCCAGACCTGTGCTGGCTCAGGAGTGGGTGGATGACCTAAACAGGTTTTTCAAGAGGTTTGAACAGCCATCCTCCCCTCCTCCCATTCAACCAGCCCTGCAGCAACCTCCTCCTCCGACTGGAACAGCTATCCAAAGGACTCACAGCCCAACCTCCCTCCCTGCTGCTCTTCCACGACCTCCCAGTCCACTCACCACCCCCATATCCAGTGTAGCTCTCTACAGCAGAGGTAAAGAGTGAGTCCAGGCTGAAGGTCAAGAGGGCAATAGGCCTGGATGGCATAGGCTCAAGGCTCCTCAAGTCCTGCGCTAGGCAACTGTGCGGGATTGTGGAGCACATGTTTAACATGAGCCTGAGGCAGCAAAAGGTGCCGTTGCTGTGGAAGACATCCTGCACAAAATCACCCCAACATCCAGGTACTTACAAGTACCTGGATGTTCACCTGAACAACAACCTGGACTGGACTGTAAACACTCAGGCTCTGTACAAAAAAGGCCAGCGCAGACTCCACCCACTGCGCAGACTGAGATCCTTCGGTGTGCAGGAAGGCCTCCAAAGGACTTTCTACAACTCGGTGGTGACATCAGCCATTTTTTATGGTGTGGTTTGATGGAGCAGCAGCATCACGGCTACTGAGGGGAAGAGTCTGAACAAACTGTTGAAGAAGGCCGGCTCCGTCCTGGGCTGCGGTCTCGATCCTGTGGAGGTGGTGGGTGACAGGAGGATGATGACAAAGCTGTCATCATCATGGACATTACCTCCCACCCCCCTACATGGGACTGTACGAGCCCTGGAAAGCTCCATCAGTGCCAGGCTTCTTCACCCACGCTGTACCAAAGAGAGGTAGCGCAGGTCCTTCCTCCCCTCTGCTGTGAGACTCTACAACCAGCTGTGCTCCCAGTAGACCAACAACGTGCAATATCCCTGTTTTTAATATAACAATAACCAATACTCACATTTACATTCAAAAATATTTATTTATGTTACAGTGGTTATTTGCACTATTTCACGACATGTTGGTATGTATGTATATATTGGCTTTTGCACTGTTTATTATTGTTATATCTGGATTTGCACTGTTCTTTTTATATGCGTATTTTTATACTTACATTTGTGCTGTTTTTTTTACATGTACATTTTCCTGTCGAGTATTTGTGTATCTCTGTGTGTACTGCTGCTGACAACACTGAATTTCTCCACTGTGAGATCAATAAAGGCACATCTTATCTTATCTTAACTTAACTCTGGAAACCTTCTCTTACCGTGTCCTTGGTTGAAATCATGGAAAACAGGAGTGATTTCTCTGTTTCCAAACTCGACAGCGTGGCTGACCAGAGCCTGTTTGACAGCTCTGTAACCGGCCAGAACCACCACCTTCTGAGGTCCAAGGTAGACTGTGAACACTGGCCCATATTTTTTGGAAAGCTACAAGGAAGTAATGCAGGTACAGGTGAGACTCACAACAAATGTGGTTCATACGTAAAAACAGTCTGTCAGCAGGGAATGAACAGAACTGTATTGTTCAAGACAAGCAACAGATTTCTTACATCAAAAAGCACTTTGTCCAGTCTCTTGAGATCCAGCTGAAGCAGGTTTCCGAGCAGAGGAAAAGCTCTGGGTCCTGGAGGCTCCCGGTTCTGTTCTCTGGAGCTGAAGCTGGACTGGAAAAGGTGAAACAGCAGCAGCAGCAGCATGACTCCCAGCAGAGAGGCAGAAGTAGAGCACTGCAGTAGATCCTCCAACATGGTGCTCAGTCACCTGGAAGCTTGTTCCAGATCAACTGGCGATCCGATCAGCTGGTGTTCCCAGCGTTTCTGAGACAGGTGTTTCGTAGGCGTGGCTTTTCAGGACCCCTTACCGACTAACCAGGAAATAAACAATCTGACACGTTAGTCACGTAAAATGAGATATCTGCTGTATTTTTCTTTTCAGTCTTGACAAATATATCTGGAAACAAGAGCCTTCTCATTCTAAAAGTCAGGCCGCTGTCGGGCTCGATGAAGGAAACTAGGTGAGCGCAGTCGGACCCGCTGGAGCTGTGATCGCTCATTGATCACTATTAAAACATGTTAGTAGGAAAGCAACAGAGACAGGAGACCAACCCAGTGTGTACGTTATTCTGACATGAAGGTTACAAACCGTGTGGTAACAGACCGCCAAGTGTTCAGTATAACATCAATACATTGATACGATGTAGGCTGATTTAGATCAGATTGCGCGACACTGGCTTATTTAAATTCACAAAAATGAAATGTTTCACAGGATAGAAAAGTGTTCCAGGTTAACTGAGGATGTATTTACCCTCCAGATGATCCGTTTGCAAAGTCGTCACAATCAGACCTGTGTGTGTGAAGATAAGGATATAAAGACATAAAGAAGACCTCGGCGACAAAAGTAATAAAGTCTACATCCATGCCAATATTATCTACAGACAGCAAAACCAAACATACTGACCAAAATTTAAAAAAAAAAAAAAAAAGAAAGAAACATGTATTTTTTTAAGTCCGGTGGGAGGATTTGAAACCACTTCGTTCAGATGCAAAAACACGGTGTCGGTGTTTTACGCACTGTGCCACCCATCAGCTCAATTACACTACCTGTTCATTTCTGACCCATTTCCTCCATAGAGATCGTTTCCATTTGGCTAGATGTTTAACACCTGGTGATTACCCAGGAAACACGCCCAGATCAACTGTCACAACTTAACATCCAGAGATACGGAGCAGAACTTCACGCTTAACTCAGGTTTGTTCACCGAAACACACTCAGCACAGCATCAGTCTGGTTTGATAGAATCATCAGAACAAACGGAGGCCACGTTGTCAGAACAACTCATAAAGAAAACACTACAAACACGTCCAGTCCTCCACGTCGTGATCTGTAATTTCAAACGATGTTAATTCGCGAACACACGCAGACAATGGACCGGAACCTCCATCAAAAAGACAGAATATTAGTGTTTTATAGGCTTTACATGACGAGCTACAGGCGCCTACTGGTGCTGTTAAACTACCGGTAAACCTGAACGTTAAATATTCCTGTCAGAAATACGACAACAGGATCACTTCAGTGTCTGTGCAGACCAAAGAGGACCAGCAACATGTCATTACATAAAAATACTCTCAAACATACAGTTCACTGTCCAGCCACGATGTGACCTCCACATGTCCAGACTGTGTGCTGAAGATATGCAGTGTTTTGTTGAGTAGGAATGAGAATCCAGTTTGTTAAGTGTGAAGTGTTATTCATTGTGTTTTCTAAGAAGTGACAGAAAAAAAAATACAGTCAGCGGTTCAGTTTGTGTGACATTACAGTCTAGGACGTGGAGGACTGGACGTGTCTGTAGTGTTTCCTCAGTGAGGAGTTCTGTTGGTTCTGATGATTCTATCAAACCAGACTAATGCTGTGCTGCGTGTTGTTGTGGTGGGAGACTGATGTGTGTGTTTCAGTGAACAGACCCGAGTTAAGCGTGAAGTTCTGCTCTGGATCTCTGACACTGAATGTACAGACGAACACACAACACAACACAACACAGTGTGCTTCTATGTCGTGTGTTTTGCTGGTCAGACTATCATATGTTTTGTGTTTCAACAGGCAGCGTGTGTCTGTGTTAAGTTGAGACTATCACCAGTTGATCTGGGCGTGTTTCCTGAGTAATCACCAGGTGTTAAACACCTGACAGAATAGAAATGATCTATAGGAATGAGAATGATTCTTA